TTATTTATGCAAGGGTTAAATTAAATGAATTCATTATATTAATTATTCAACTATTAAAACAAAAGATTTTATATTTGTTGCCACGTGGGGGCATTTTTATGAACAGTACAGACTATTATACGCAGTGTTTTCACCTTGTAGTATTTGTGTTCATGAGAAATTTACAACTAATGAAAACACTGTTCTGTCTACAGGCAACACAAACTTGAAGAAGCACTATTATATTCTGGCCAGTTTAAGGATGCCTTACAAGCACTCCTTGACTGGTTGTACAGAGTAGAACCGACATTAACAGAGGAGTCTCCAGTCCATGGAGATATTGATACAGTCCTGAACCTCACAGACGCCCACAAGGTATGTATAGACAATGTTATTTTTGCCACTGTTATCATGAAGGATGGGTTTATCCTGTTTCTATTCGAATCATATTTAGTATCACAGGGCTTAAACTTCATGGAAGCAACGAAGGCCATTGCCTCATTGCCCAATTAGTTTGCCATGCTTCCATTTGATATTCTTTGTATATTCCTGTACTGTGTAGTTTTAATTTCTATAAAATTCTTTGTCTTTACAGCAATTCCAGCGTGACTTGGGCAGTCGGAAGACAAGTGTTAAATCTGTCAATAAGTCTGCCAAAGAACTGATGGAGACATCCAGTGATGACACTACACAACTGAAAGCCAAGCTCAATGAGTTGCAACAGAAATGGGAAAGAGTTTGTGGATTGAGTGTCACTAAACTAGATAGACTCGGGGACGCCATGAAAGAGGTATGCGTGGAATAGTGATCATCTTTTAATTTGGTTTAACCCTTTATCTACTATGTGTAATAGTGGCCTATTTTGTCAACTATAATTCACTAGTTTAGTTTAGTTTTTTAAAGTGTTACAGTTTCCATGACAACATCATATTCATAATGCCATAGACCAATCTTGTGTTAAATACATCAATTGTTTATCTGAAATTCCAACATATTCTGCTCAAGGAATTTTTTTTTCTTAATTAACCAGTTTTATTTTCCATTACAACTACATATTCAACATAAGTAAAAAAAAAAATAAAAAAAGACTGTACAGGAAAAAAGAAGAAAAGTTGATGAGTACCAAGGATGATAATACAATAACGTACTCTTATTAAACATACTCTGCACTGTTTTTAGAATAATTACATTTAAATAATACAAATTCAAAAAACTAAAAAACTGATTTGCATAAATAGTATAAAGTTTTTTTTTGCTTTTTTTTTTAGGCTGAAGCATTCCACCAGGCTGTTCATTCTTTACTTGAGTGGTTAGCTGATGCGGAGCAAAGTCTTCGTTTCCATGGACCCCTACCAGAAGATGAGGAGATTTTGACAGAACAAATAGAAAACCATAAGGTATGTTGTGCTGTGTTGTGTTATGTTGAACATTACAGATTATGTTCTTTGAACATAAAACTTTATGGTACATTCCATCTTCACAATTTTTTTTTTAACTTGACTCATGTTTATACAGGACTTCAAGAAATTGATGGCTGCAGAGGAATCCAGATTGAAGGACACGATTGCCATGGGAATGGCAATTCTTAAAAAATGCCATCCTGATGCAGAAACAGTCATTAAACATTGGATTACAGTTCTTGAAGCAAGATGGGCAGAGGTAAGTTTCAGGAGCTTTTTGGTTGTTGTTTTTTTGTAAAAAAAATAATATCCTCATTTATGGTTGTCAAAGTTTATTTGATTGCCTTGCATTCAGAAAAATGTTTGATGCTTTGCTGTTTCAACTGCCAATTCACTACTGTTACTGACAAATCTCACTGTTTATAGGTCCAGAACTGGTCTGATCAACGTGAACAGAGACTTTTGGATGCACTACAGCAGCTGAAGACCAATGCTGAACTTCTTGAAGCTCTCATGGCATGGTTGGAAGGTGCTGAAGCTACCCTCAAAACACTAGAAGAGGAGCCTATCCCTGAGGAACTTGAAGTTGTTGAGAAACTTCTTGAAGAACATCGCGAGTTCCAGGGTGAGATGTCGACAAAGCAGCCTGATGTTGACAGAGTAATCAAGCCGCATAAGAGACGACGATCAATTAGTGATGGTTCCCACACTGGTATACCAGTTCTTGATAGATCTCGCCGTGGTCGTCATCGTCATCGCCGTCCAGCAAGCCGGGAACCTAGCCCTGGTCCAGATGCCAGCAGGAATCCTCGAGCCGCTGCTTTATTCAACAAATGGAAGCATGTGTGGGTCATGTCGCTTGACAGACAACGGAAACTACAAGATGTCTATGATCGGCTCGCTGAGGTATAAATGCAGATTAAAACAATTAGTTGTTATTGATAGAAAATATGTGTCAGATAAAGTTTGATATTTTGATTATGGATCCTAAAAACAAATGAACTTATCGATTTTGACACTAGAGGGCGTTTCATAGAAGTTTCACATCGTGAGATGAAGACTGAAAAAAAAATATCAATTGTGACACTAGAGGGCATAATTTCTCTTATCATTTTTTCATTACATTAGATGCGCATAATGAAGAACTTCAACTTCAATGATTGGAGACGTCGCTACATGAGATGGATGAACCACAAAAAGTCGCGTGTGATGGATTTCTTCCGTCGTATTGATTTAGATCACGATGGCAAGGTCACAAGACGTGAATTTATTGAAGGTGTTTTATCATCAAGTAAGTAATTATGTGTGAGGATTGCACCTACATGTGTATTACAGTGGTGAGTCTTGTCAGTCGTCTTAGCTGAGGGTTTGATGATTCTCCAAGTAAAAGAATTCATTCTGCCCAGACTTTACCAAACACTTAACGTTGGGTTTAGGAGAATGACGTCCAAAAATTGATTCATTTCTCAATACACACCAAGGAAATGATTTTATAGATCATTGCAGTTATGGGAACTTTGCTAAATGTTTCTTTTTTTAATTTTCTCAGAATTCCCTACAACACGTTTAGAAATGAACGCTGTAGCGGACATCTTTGATCGTGATGGTGACGGTTACATTGACTACAAGGAATTTATCGCAGCATTAAAACCAGATAGTGAACGAGCCAAGCCTATCACGGACCAAGATAAGATTCAGGATGAGGTTAGTATGTTTTTAAAATATCAAATTGTTTATATCACAAAATCATTAATTATTATGTCTGATGACTGAATGACTCCAGACCTTGGCTGGAGAGTGAAGAATAGCTCTCCTAAAAGCACTAAGGTGAGGGAGTGAATTCAATGTGTTGACAAATAATTTTGCTTGATGTAGAAAATCATAAATGGAAAATATTATATTATAATTAATCATATTTGCCAATCATGTTTTTCTTTTCACAGGTGAGGCGTCAGGTATCATTGTGTACCTGCACCAAACAATTCCAGGTGATGCAGATAGGAGAGGGAAAGTACAGGGTATGTACCTAATTAGTATTCATATGCAAATTCAGCACCTGGTTTTATATCAATGTTATGTGTTGCGTGTTATCATTGGTGGGTGTTTATTATCATGTGGTGTCATGTCAGACCAATTAAAAAAAAAACAGACAGACATAGAATCTGCATAATTTTATCATTTTTAATTCCATTGTTTGGTGTCGTGATTAAATAAAGGGATATTTGGAACATTCCCAACTTGTTGATCCTGAATTTCTTCTCACTATCTTGCATCCGCATCTTTTCATTCCCATTACATTACTATTTGCAGTTATTGCTTATAGTAATATATAGAATTTTAATTTATAGTACTGTAACCTCCATAAGAATTTATAGTCTGTATTCTCTTAAATATCATTGTACCCATATATAATTTATCATATGTTTCGCATATTAGATAAGAAACGTCATAAATTAAAAGAAACTATGTAAGATGTTTAGAAATAAATCAAATGTAGTGAAACTCTTCTGCTAATGAACTTTTAAATCCAAATCTGTTCCTTATTGTCAATCTTGCAAATCTACATCTGTTTCCTAATGTCAATCCTACGTGTTTTCTTTTGTCCATCTAAATCTGTTTTATATTGTCAATCTTCTTTTTACCAATTTCAAGTTGGGTTTGTGCCAATACTAAAAATCAAATCCCATTCAAAGCATGGGGTGCACTTTGCCTACCTAAGGTGACTTACCAGTTTAACTCCCACTCTCCTGATTAACAATTGTAATGCATGCTATTTTATTTTCTACTATCATGTTCTTTTATTTTTCGGGTGTTTTCGCTTTTTAGAGTGGTAACCAACAAATGTATCAGTTTTTTAGTCGGGTATGTTTGTTTTCCTATGATTCTTTCCTTATCATGGTGAAATGCGTAAACGGTTGATGGGCCGCCATACAGTATCCGGTAAACTTGTCATCCCATACATTTTAAACATATCGCACTTCTGGGCTTCGTCGCGTATGTTTGTGCTAATCATGTTCTGTGTGTCAATCATAACTTCATATAGCTTATAAAAAAAAAAATGCTGATAATGAAAGATGAAATGCGTCTCTATTTCTCTGACATCTGTTGTCATGGAGATACCAATTTGGCAAATTAAAAAAAATGAGGAACCCATGCTTGTTTCATTTTGTTTGCACCTTTATTTGTTTATAAACATTTCAGTTTAATAATATTATTTGTAAGTTGCATCAAACACACAGCTGTCTGGCTTTAATTGCAAATTGCTATCTCCATGCTGCAAGTTCTACCTCAAAAACCCCATCTCAATTTCATAAAGCTTCGTCATTTATTTGCCTATTATTTCTCAGAAGAAAAAAAAACGATTTTTAATCATGGACTTCCTTTATTCCTTCCATCCCTTTCCAAAACACTCCCTTTTATTTCTCACTTCGTACTTACGATTCCGTTTTTGCCATCATCCATTCCTCGCTTTACCGTCCCCGCCCCTAACAGATGTTATGCAGCACACCAATTGAAGAAATTTACGATCAAATGAGTATCCCTTACAACTTTCCATTATCATTTCTCGTTCATGTAAGTTCATTGTGTTGTCTTCATCATCATCTTATCACATGATCACCACATGACTTAACATGAAGCCCACATGGCAGGCTCCTGATGCCTAAATGGCAGTCACATGGTGCCCACATGATAGTCACATGGTGTGTCTCCTGCACAAATTTATGCCAAACAAACCCATAATGCTTGCTCTTGTTCCTTAACACCATTGCTTTGTAACTTAACTCTCCTCTGGACCACTGGCCTTTCTTTCTCAGGTTTTCCACTTTGGGTACTTCTTAAGTTTTCTTATATTGAGACTTTTCTCAAATTATTCGTAAGCTTTTGCAAAAACTAAAAAAAAAACATACTTTCTCCCACTTTTTTGCTGCCATTCATCACAGCAATTTTACATGATGTACACCAAGGATATGAGCTCACCAAACGTGCAAATTGGACAAGTACGTTAATTCAAAAAAAAAAAAAAAAAATTTATCGGGTCCTTTACTGACTGGTTCGTGGTTCGGATATGGGTTGCATAGTGTGTTGCTTGACATTGACTGCTAAGTGTTTGCATATTATTTCAAGTGCATGCTTTTATTAATTTATATTATTAAGTTTCTGTTATTTGTATATATTTATATGCTTTTATTAGCATCACTTATTATATAAGTTTCATTAATGTAATGATTGAAATAATTTTGTTTGTGATAAGCAGCGTTTTCAGCATCCCATTATATCGGGTTTTCCATCTCTGTTAACTTATGCACAGTTATTTATATAATAATAACACTGAACTAACAAACCAAACCAAATTGCATGCTTTGATAACCTCCCGAGGTGTTAAATGGTGAAGGAAGACAACATGGCTTGAACAAATGTGTCGCTATTACCAGCCTATAAATTTTTACAAAAACTAAGGGGTATTCCCTGCAATTCTTACCATCACCTGTTCACAGATCCCCCCCCCCCCTAAAAAAAATAAAGAATTATTTCTCTATTTAAAGAAATAATCACTGGCCAATTTACAAGCGGATTTCTGAAATACCAATCCTGCAGTGCTGAATTTACTTTTTTTCAGTTATATTTTCCAAATAATTCTATGATATCTATTTGGGTTCATAAGCCATGTGAAATCCAGCACTGGTGGGAGGGGGGGGGGGGGGCAATATGCCTGAATCTACTCCAAATAGTACTTCTAGCAATTAGGTTTACTACACAGACTTTGCACTTGGCATATTTGAATATTATTATCAGATTTACAATAAACAAACACTTGAATTTTCACATTATATTTTTTTGCTATCATGGAATTGTCAAATTTTATGGCAAATTGAACTCCTTGGGAGTATGAACACAATAAAGTAAAACATAGGGAGTATTACCGGTAACATAAAAAAATTACAACCTAGGGAATATTAACACAGTACAATTACACAATAACACAACTTCTACAGAGTGGGTACAAAATAAAGTACAACCCAAGGAGTATGGGCACAAACACTTACAACCAAGGGAGTATAAACACAATAAAGTACAACCTAGGGAGCGCAAACATTTACAAGCTAGGGAGTATGAGCAGAATAACTACAACCTAAGGAGCACAATAAAGTACAAGCTAGGGAGTATGAGCACAATGATATGCAACATAGGGAGTATGAGCACAATAAAGTACAAGCTAGGGAGTATGAGCAAAATAAAGTACAACCCTAGAGAGCACAAACAATTACAAGCTTAGGGAGTATGAGCAGAATAAACTACAACCTAGCGAGCACAATGAAGTACAAGCTAGGGAGTATGAACACAATGATATGCAACATAGGGAGTATGAGCAAAATAAAGTACAACCTAGAGAGCACAAACAATTACAAGCTAGGGAGTATGAGCACAATAAACTACAATCTAGGGAGCACAATGAAGTTCAAGTGAGGGAGTATGAGCACAATGATATGCAACACAGGGAGTATGAGCACAATAAAGTACAAGCTAGGGAGTATGAAATGATTAAATAAATTAATTTTTAGACAATGTGTATATTAATTTTGGTATCAGAAGATGGAAAATCTGAATAAAATGGGAAATTTTAGTAGAGTAGATAGTTAACCCGTTGAACACCAATGTAACTTTTCACAATTACAAACTTGTCGATTTGTTCACATTTAAAAAAAAAAATTGCATCATTTTCTGTAGCTAAAAGGAAATTGGATTCAAAATTAACAAAGAAATTATAAAAAAAAAAAGTACAGAACAATAAAGGTGTTCAATGAGTTATATACAAGATAGACTGCACTGGTGTTTGCTTATGGATTTTTTTTGCATAAATTGCATTTTGCTCCAAAAGCTTCCTTTGCACTATAATCCTTGAATAGAGTAAGATTTGATGGAGTTATATTACTACAGTGTTGATCTTGTTATTGCTGTTTTTTGTGTGACATTGCTTACTTTATTCATGTTTTTGCCCATTTCTAGTTTGGCGATTCACAACGGTTACGATTGGTGCGTATTTTACGAAGTACCGTAATGGTTCGTGTTGGTGGAGGATGGATGGCACTTGACGAGTTCTTGGTGAAAAATGATCCATGTAGAGGTAGGCTGCTTTCTTTATATCTCTATCCCATCCCCTTATTCCCATCTTGCAAACTTTCATATTTTTATTTGTGTCTGCAAACATTTTTTTTCTAGGTTTGTATCTTTTTGGCAGTTCAATGTTTCTTAGTCAGATTTTGACTGTTCACTGAAACAATACTACCATCAAAGATAAATAAAAGATGCTTTTCCATCTTACTTCCAAGTTGATTGCATTCTCAAAAAAATAATTTTGGAATTGGCGTTATCCCATGTATTTTTTTATTAATTTTTTTTTATTTTAATTATTTATTTATGTTCAGAGCGGAAGTACAATGTCGCTGAAGGTAACAGCATACACAAATATTTGGTTGAGGGTAAAATATGTAGTTGCACTTTTTTTTTTCCTTTAGGTATATTATTTTAAATTTTTGTTATATTATGTTTTCTGTGTTTTACCCATGTGTTTATTTAGTTTCATTAATTTAATTTTACCTGTTTTTTTCTTAATATTCACTCTTCTCCATTGATGGTTTTAACGGGTGGTCCTGTTTTCTATTTTTTTGGCATTCTTGTACTTCACTGTTTCATCTACATAAAAAAAAAATCATTATAGTTTTGGAACTTTTGAGTCAGGCTTCTCAGACCGTTGTTTGACATTCATGTGATCAACATGTGACATTCATGTGATCAACATATGACATTCATCTGATTCTCATGTTCTGATCATGTGACTGTCTAAATGTCTTGGCAATAAATGATTAAAAATGTTTAAATCATCTCATTCAGTTAGCTGGTTATGTAATTTGGTGATTAATAATTAAAAAACTATAATTCAAAGTTGCAAATAAAAATGAGTGAAGCACTGTCAAGCCTGCCTTTATTGCCGCATTTGTTTTTGTCAAAAAATAAAAAAAAATTTGTTTTCCAAATTCCTTCACATTATTGAAAGCATGTTTTCACAGCACAGTGCCCTCATAATAATTTTTAACTTGCATGGAGGCAAATCTGAACACCATAACAATTGGTAATGCTTGAAAAACATGAAGGGGAAAAATGGTAATGGGAAAATGTTTTTAAAAACTTTGAATATTTATTTATTTATTATTTATTTTCACTGTATCTTCAGTCCGGAAAAGAATTTTACAAGAAGGTAATAGGTTCAAATATGAATAGAACTTGCGATAGTGTTACTGGGAACTGGTCTTTTTGTCTTGTTATTGCTTGTGTCGAAGGAATATGGCTGCCTTTTGATTTGTTTCAGAGAACTTAGGGGAGCTTATTTATTTGTTGAATTTACCTGTAGCAACAGACCTTCCAATGTATAATCATGGATTGATGTTTTATAATAACTTTTACCAACATGATTTTTTTTTAGATTTGTTCACTAAATGTTCAAAACAAGTAACTGAAAACTAGTTGTGCAATTTTTCACATCGATCAAGCTCCTTTAATACTGAATAAAATCAAATTGTAGCCAATTCAGATATTCTCATCTTTCTAGAGTACATAGTATTTCTGTGTATTTCATTGGTGCAGGTACATGGGTCAAATGTCTACAACACTCTTCAGACTCTTCTCATTCAATCTCACACAATCTCATTCAACTTAGTGACATCATGGCTTGAAGTAATGACATCATATGTTGAATTGATGACATCATTGCTTAATTGATGACATCATTGCCTAATTGATGACATAATTGCCTAATTGATGACATCATAGATTGAATTGATGACATCATGGTCGAATTCATGTCTTGTTATCAACTAATATTTATTATATTGTTTGCTGAACACATATTTCTACCAAGCCTGTTTCCCTTCATATTTTAACTAAATAAGGCTGTTCACAGTTCCACAGTGGAAGACTGGTCCAAAAAATGCTTTCTACACTCAATTGGCTTGGTGTTATGGACTAAAAACAGTTAATTAATTTTTGCTCTGTACAAAAACCTCATTGCCTATCATTCCGTTCCCATCATATTCAGTCTTTAACTCAAAGTCCACCAACATGAACTGTTATGTTTGGCCACCCTCAAGACATGTACCATTTCAGTTTATGTATGCTTGCATGATGGGAAAAGTACACCACTTTTGATAGTTAGTGGTACTTGGCCTGGCCTTTAACCCATTTTCGGTTCTTTATTTTTCTTCTTTTGTTCTCTGAGTAGTTGTTAAGAAATTGTAATGTGCAAAAGACGATTTAGACGTTGACATGGTTAATATGCATCTTTAGCCACAAAAGTTGAACCTTTCATTACCAGGACTTCTGACTCCTGCATATATATACATTAATTGTCTTAACTAATTTCAGAAAATTATTTTAAATTTTCGAAAAAGCCATCTATAATATCAGTCATAAGAGCTTATAATATCAATTTAATATTCTTTTTGGAACAAAATTATATATTATGGTTTTTTTCATATTTTCGATGCTAAGCAGTTCAACATTGGCTACTAGTATTTAGCATATTGTAAATGAAAGTTGTAGTGAAAGGTGTCTTTGTTGCCATCTATTACGGTGTGAAAACAACTTTCTGTGACTGTGTTGCTGATATATTTATATCTAATCAGCGCAAACATGTCAAATATAATTCCAATATACATGTAGTTCCAACTTTCTATTTTTGTCTGCTTTCCCTGCAGCTCGTGGTCGAACAAACATTGAACTACGTGAGCGTTTCATCTTAGCAGAAGGTGTGAGCCAATCAATGCAAGCATTTAGGACGAGGAGTCCCGGAGTCTCGACATCTGGCTCCAGTACGACCGGAAGCTCCCGAAGCATGAGCGGACCTATTATGAAGGTGGGTGACCATGGTGTTTTGAGTTCATTTTTTCTTTTACCACAGCATTTAATTCTAGGGTGTCATGTCTGATGAAAGTGCAAGACTGCCATATTTCAAGATTTGAATAGTAAACACAAATTAGTGAGATGGTGAAAAGAAATTATATATTCTAATACTATTTTTGTTCACCTTTGTTTTATAGATTCGTGAAAAGAAGAATATAACTCGCCCATGGCAAAGACAGTCACCCATGTCTGTTCCATCTGTTGTAAGTTCCACCAGTTCTGACGGTGTCAAAACAACACGAGAACGAAGACCTGATGGTACAGTCATCACTAAGACACATCATACTAAAGAATGTCCAGCTGGTAGGTTTTCCAGTTCAGTTTGTACTAGTCAGAACTGGTTCTGACCAGTTCTCAGCTTCACAGCTGACTGGTTCTGACCAGTTCTCAGCTTCACAGCTGACTGGTTCTGACCAGTTAGGCTTCATTATAATGTTCTTTATTTTTTTTGTAGATGTGTACAGCTTTATCTTTTGCTTCCCATTATAGTTTCTTTTGATGACAAATTCCCCAAATACCAGACTTGTCTTGGCTTTTATTATATTTTTTTACTTCCAATATGAAAAGCACACAAGTTTTAACTTTTGAATTATTTTCCAGCTTTGCAATATTTCATCGTCATTTTACTTTCAAATTACGTCCAAGCTTTGCAATATCCTGTCGTCATTTTATTTTCAAATTATGTCCAAGCTTTGCGATATCCTGTCGTCATTTTATTTTCAAATTATGTCCAAGCTTTGCGATATCCTGTCGTCATTTTATTTTCAAATTACGTCCAAGCTTTGCAATATCCTGTCGTCATTTTATTTTCAAATTATGTCCAAGCTTTGCAATATTGCATCGTCTTTTTTCTTTCAAATTACATCCAAGCTTTGCAATATTTCATCGTCATTTTACTTTCAAATTACGTCCAAGCTTTGCAATATTGCATCGTCTTTTTTCTTTCAAATTACATCCAAGCTTTGCAATATTTCATCGTCATTTTACTTTCAAATTATGTCCAAGCTTTGCAATATCCTGTCGTCATTTTATTTTCAAATTATGTCCAAGCTTTGCAATATCCTGTCGTCATTTTATTTTCAAATTATGTTCAAGCTTTGCGATATCCTGTCGTCATTTTATTTTCAAATTATGTCCATGCTTTGCGATATCCTGTCGTCATTTTATTTTCAAATTACGTCCAAGCTTTGCAATATTACATTGTCATTTTGATTTCAAATTATGTCCAAGCTTTGGAATATTCCGTTGTCTTTTTATTTTCAAATTACGTCCAAGCTTTGCAATATTGCGATGTCATTTTACTTTCAAATTATGTCCAAGCTTTGCAATATTTCGTCGTCGTTTTATTTTCAAATTATGTCCAAGCTTTGCGATATTCTGTCGTCATTTTACTTTCAAATTACGTCCAAGCTTTGCAATATTACGTTGTCATTTTGATTTCAAATTACGTCCAAGCTTTGCAATATTGCGATGTCATTTTACTTTCAAATTATGTCCAAGCTTTGCAATATTTCGTCGTCGTTTTGTTTTCAAATTATGTCCAAGCTTTGCGATATTCTGTCATCATTTTACTTTCAAATTACGTCCAAGCTTTGCAATATTCCGTTGTCATTTTATTTTCAAATTACGTCCAAGCTTTGCAATACTGCGTCGTCATTTTACTTTCAAATTACGTCCAAGCTTTGCAATATTTCGTCGTCATTTTATTTTCAAATTATGTCCAAGCTTTGGAATATTCAGACGTGATTGTTACTCTATATGTTGACTTTCTTTCATGCATCTTTGTCTTCCATTGCACTCTAGCACATAAATGTAAAGCCCGGTCCAAAAAATTGCTGTCTCCGGTTGACGAGGAGCATTTTAGTCACATGTGGCGGAAGTAGTGAAGTTTGTTGGTTGGTGTGGTGAAGGTGTCTTATCTTTTTCTTTTGCATTTCTGTACTGCATTGCATTGTAGCTTTAGCTGACTTTGTTTTCTGCATGTTGGTGTGATTGTTTTATTGCATGCTTTAAATTTAATTTAATTGTTACCAAATAGTTACCCAAGGATTTTATTTATATGCCAAAACTTGAAACAGAACAAATTAAAATCCAGTTTTGTCTTCAATTTTGAGTAGTATTTGGCCTTATTTCTTCAATTTTATTGTCAGCTCATAAAATAAAGGGAAATCATGGCTTACAAAAAAATGAACACATACAATTAACAATGTTATGAAAGGATGATTACGTATTACTATTCAATTTTGGTATTACTTACCAACCCAGAATAAATGCCAGACTTTGCATTTGTCACTCCACCCAAAAGCCACCTTTCGTCTTCAATTTGAGTTTTAAAAATATAAGTCTAGTTATTTGTAATCAAATATAAGAATTATTTGTTACCTTAAAATGAGTTTAAAATAGTTGATATGTGAGTGATCTGCTACAATGAGCATGAAAATATTGAACTACTAACAAAAGTAATTGAATAATCTTGTTTAGTTACCACTGATTACTTTCTCTGGTTATCTCAGCGGCTCAACTTACCAGAGGTTATCTAAGTTTACTTATACATGTAATTACTTGACCGTGATTGTTTATAGTTTTTAAGGGTTATCTCTGACTGCTAGTTGTTAATTTAAGTTTAAATAAAATTAATAAAGATTGTTACTCATGGTTATCTTTAGTTATTAG